GATATTTTAATTATTAAAAAAAAATTAAAATTTTAAACTCATATATCTTATTATCTATTAATCTCAAAAATGTAAAATACTACTATTTAATAGTCTTAATATGATGAATCCAATAAATTAGATTTTTTTTTTTTTTTTTTATAATCATTAATAATAAGTTATTTTCAAAATTGAAAAATTGATATATTGATAATTAATAATTTAAAAAATTTATTGTATTAGTATTAGATGTATTTAATATGAAAATTTTAAAAAATTTTTTATAAATAATTTTATACTTATCATATAGAAGAAATAATATTTATAAATAATTTTATATTTATTATTTAAAGGATAACATTTTATTTATATTAGAAAATATAGTATTTGATAAATTTTAATAATAATATATTTTTTTTTTATTAGTGCGGATATATTATCATTTTTTATTAAAAAACGAGATTAAAAAACTAAAATTTTAAATAAATCGAACAAATATTGTTTATAAAAGGAGTATTAATCAAAATATGTAAACTACTTCATTTTACATACAGTAATAAGAAAAAATCGAAATTTCTTTGACGAGTTCTACATTCTATAAATAACTTTTCATTCATCGGATATAATAAAACGGAATTCAACGGAAATTACTTAGTATCAAAGTTTGAGGAGAATTTTTTATTAGTAAAATGGATGAAAAGCTTGTACGCCGGATTTACCAATTCACCTACTTACTTCTGAATATCTTCATACCTTTGTGTAAGGTGAGTGTGGGTATATTTTCTTAAGAGATTTTGGGGAAAGTAACATTCACCCCGTTTTAAATAAAAGAAAAAAAAAAAGAGGGTATAAATACTTTTTTTTTTTTGTTCATTGATAACAAACCTATTATTACACATACTAATATTATTATAGAGTGGGCGTGGATGGCAATATTTCTTTTTCTTTCTTTTCATTCCATTAAGAAAAAAGAAGGTTGACCCTATTGCACATAATAGTAAACTTATTACACAATAACCCACTAACAAAGCCTTAATTGAACATGATTTTCCACAACAATTATGAATTCTTACAATCATATGACTTTTATAATAATCAAATATATAATATGTATAGTAAGTAATGCATTCATAAGGTCATATGGTGTTTATGATTACTATATGTGTATATATCACGATAATACTTTTATTTGCCAGGTGCAACAATTCCCAATCTTGACTTGTATATGAACTTGTTATCTTGTAAATAATGAGGCGCAGCAAATTAATTATTCTCATTTAGCCGTAGAAAATATTTCATTATTTAAGCCTTGTGATTTCTTTGTCAATCATCACCTTATAAACCGTTTAAACGAACGGAATTTATTAGTTTGTTTTGTTTATTATTAAATGAATAGAATTGACAAAGGTGAGTTTTTTATTCTGGGCTGTGAGTAACAAAATTATGAAATACAATAACCGTTAATATTAATAAAGGTTCTTTTTTTTTTTTCTTTTTTTTTTCTTTTTTTTTTAAATAGTATATATATGATATATAATAAGAATAACACGTAAGTAATACTAGATTACTTTTTTTGCGCCGATGTGAGTATTGCTAGTGTTAGGGTGTACTAAATCCGCATATGAAGTATAATACTTCATATGTAAGACTGTTCATATTAGAATATGTATGTCATATATTTGTTAGTATTATGCAATATACTGATATGATAAAAAAAAACAATCCCCCCATAAGACAGACATATACACCCCATATACCACATATATAATAGAGGAAAAAAATACCGTCGAGTCAAACCCCCCAACATACCTGCTTTTCTCGCTACTACCAAACATATATCAACTTGCTCTCATCATCTTACCAAACCTCTAGTACTCAACTTGAAATTTCAGAATGCCTAAAGCCAAACCTACAAAGAAAGCTACCAGTGGTGAGTATTTTTCGTCTTTGTTTCAAGTATATATATGTGTATATATAATATATGGGAAATTTAAACCTCTTAATTCAAGAGCGTGTCCTTCCAAATTGTTATTATAAAGAATACTTTGGAGGGGACGGGGAAGCCCTACCTCCACGTTATTTCACGCTTTTTTTTACTGCTTGTATACCGCGCTGACAAACTTTGTTAGACCGCGACTGTACATATATTTCTATATATACCTTAATATGTCGCTCGTTCCTTCTAATATATTTCTTTGTCTACTTCATTATTATTTAAATTTTTTAGGTGGAAAGAGAAAACTCTCTCCTTATAACGCCTTCATGAAGTCTGAACTACCTAAAGTTAAGGCTGAAAATCCTGACCTTGAACATAAAGCCGCTTTCAAGCTTGTCGCTGAACGGTGGAAGAACAGCCCTGATAATCCAAAGGTAATTTTTTTTTGTTCATTTGTTCTCTCTTGAAAACCCGTAATCTCAAGAATGTCATTATCATTTGCCAAGTTTTGGTGGTTTTTCCTCACGTTTTTCGCTTAAAAAAAATTTTTCCAACCTTCTTTTTGTTAATAGAACCAGACAAGTTAAATGTCACGTGATCAAGGCTTCTTCTTTTCTGAACAAATAAATTGATACTTTCTATGACTTGAATTTAAATCTACACGTTTTAAAATTTAATACAAAGTGGTTTAGTCGTAAATATTGAATTGAGGGTTCTTTTTTCCCTCCATTTCATATCAATTTTATTTCTTTTTCTTTCCAATTGTAAACATTTTTTTTTTTTTTTTTTTTTTCAAAAATTATTCATATAAATTTTCAAAACTTAAACTTCCGAAAAAATTTGGAATTTGTTTCTTATCATCTGGTGTTTTGTGTAAATAAAAAAAAAGAAATTTTTTTTCTTTCACAATAAATAATTCAAAGTTCTGTGGAAATTACTTTGTGCATGATGTATCTTGTTTATTATAAATTGATGATTTTATTGAGTTTTGAAAAAAAAATTGCCATTTCATTACCTTATATGATTTGTAACGCGAAAAAAAGTGGTTGGATTTTTTCATAAAATGAAATTCCTCAAAACATTAATTACGTTCAAAAGTTAGATTATCATAACCATTTGAAATAAAAAGTGACTAAAAATGGTAAAATGACATTCGTTAAAAGTCGCGTAATTATTTACAAGTCTTTATCTTTATCGTATAGTATAATAGAATCATAAAATTGATTCTTTGAAATAAAAAAAAAAAAAGGTAGTTCGTGATTTTGGCCGGAATTAAAAATTTAAGCAAAGTACGTTGATTTAATATGAGAGTTGATTATCCAATCACCATATATCTACTGATTAATGTGAACTACTATTTTTTTAAAAAAATGTCTCGCTTAACTGAGGAACGTAATCAAGATGCTACTGTCTACATTGGTAATCTTGATGAACGTTGCACTGAAGCTCTGATTTGGGAATTAATGCTTCAAGCAGGGCCTGTCGGTAAGTCTCTTTCTCTATTCCTACTTTTTTTATTTTTATTTTTATCGAGCTTCGATCAATATTTATTATTTTATCTTTCAATAGTCAACGTTCACTTACCAAAAGATCGCGTAACTCAAACCCATCAAGGATATGGGTTTTGTGAGTATATGAGTGAAGACGATGCAGATTATGCTATCAAAATAATGAATCAGATCAAGTTATATGGAAAGCCTATACGTGTTAATAAAGTGAGTGAGTGAGTGGGTTCATTGAAATTTTCCCATTAGTTTACTGTATATAATTAATTGACACTTCCGTCGTATCATTATTATTAGGCAACGTCGGATAAGAAGAATTTGGACGTGGGCGCTTCATTATTCATAGGCAATTTGGATCCTGATGTCGATGAAAAAATGTTATATGATACATTCAGTGCCTTTGGTGTGATCGTGCAGACTCCAAAGGTATGCATGCGGTTTGTTATTAGTTTGTCTTATAATCTTTATCATTATTAAAATCGTTTATTTTATTTATAGATTGCAAGAGATCCCGATACTGGTAATAGTAAAGGATATGGGTTTATTTCATACGATAATTTCGATTCTTCAGATGCAGCAATTGATGCGATGAATGGGCAATATTTGATGAACAAGTCAATCACTGTGTCATACGCGTTCAAAAAGGATGGTAAAGGTGAAAGACATGGAAGTGCTGCAGGTTCGTATTTTCCTTCAAAATACATGCTTTTTTTTTAAAAAAAATAAACGTATATATACTATATATATATTTTTTTTCACCACCGACATCCCCTGTTCTTAAACCTCTTCCTCTTACATCTATAGAACGATTGTTAGCGGCTCAAGCAAAGAAAAATCAAAGTTTGCCGAATCGTTTATTTGCGGACGTTCGTCCACCTACGATTCCACACGGAGGATATCATGCACCGGGAACAACTACACAGACGGCAACACAACCTCCACCTAGACCATCTGTTATAAATGTAGCGCAAGGTGTGAATATCAATAAAAAATAAACTTTTTGATGTGTATCTGAATGTTTTTCAATTAACGCTAATGTCATCACTTGTAAATTCTCTCCTAATCAGCTCGTCCACCCCCACCACCTACATTTGGAACTTCAACTCCTAATCGACCTCCTTTTTCACCACCATTACGTCCTCCTGGTCCTTACGGCCAGTATCCGTCATTTCAAGGTACTACAACAACTGGACAAGCTCCAAATCCTTCTGCTCCACAAGGGTATAATGGATATGGTGCAGGATTATCACGGTGAAAAGTTTTTTATTTATCATCAAATTGGTTTTTTTTCCTCTTCTTGTATAGACATGAATTAAAATTTCTGAAATTTTTTTTTACGTTACTTTTTTTTGTGAATGAATGAATGCACGTGTAATTTTTTATTTTATTTGAACCGAGATGATCGGGGTAAGAAACAATATATTATAACGGGTCGAAATTTTATTGCTTTAAATTCATGATTATTTATGATTGGACTTTTATTATTATTTAAATAATATATTGAGATATATATACAGTATATATATACAAGGTTAAGCTAATACTGTATATTAAGAAATTATCAAATTTGCAATAAATTTTTACATTTTAGGTTGTGTGTTTTGATTTTTAACGAATTCTAAAGATTTTTTAACGTGTCCTTCAAAATCCATCATGGAATTGAAAACATCGCGAATAATACCATCTTTGTCGATTAAAAAGGTAGCCCTACCAGGCAAGAAGCCAAGAGTCTTTGGAACCTAAATGAAACAAAATGAAAAATAGTTAAATTCTTTTTAAATCAATAATAAAGAAAATTTTAAAATAGCGAATGTGTAGATACATTGAAGAGCTTCCTTGCTTCATTGTTTGGATCAGATAATAACGGGAATTGAAGTCTTTGAGAATCAGAAAATTGCTTGTGTTTATCAACAGGATCCGAAGAAATACCAACTACGGTAGCACCAGCATCAGAGAAAACGGAATAAGAATCACGAAAGCTGCATACCTAAAATTAAGATGAATTTAATATACGATTTAGATGAGAAGGATAAACCTTTTATTTCTATAAAGTATTTAGTACCTCTTTGGTGCAACCATAAGATTCATCCTTGGGATAAAAGAATATGACCGATGGTTTACCATTACCAACCAAAGATTTTAATTCAACCAATTCACCTCCTTGATTTTTAAGAGCAAGGTTAGTAGGAGCAGGTTGATTTAATAAAGTATGGTGAACGGTTGAAAACATTTTATTTGAAAAAGACTTGTTAAATGAATCTGATAAACCAGATAAATTTCTAATAACGGATACTCGTCGCAGATAATAAAATTGTGTAGGTTTGCGAAACATGTGAGAAGAAGTGTTTTGTATTATATGATAAATAATTTTGCTGATTAATTAAATTTCCTTATTTGTTGTGTTAACGGAAAAAAGTTTAAAGTTTTTTCTTGTATAACGAATTGACACGTGAACGGGAAATTAATTTAGCGGATTCTTCTATTATTACAAATCGATTCTCGGAATCACACATTTATAATTTACTAGATTGGTTGCTTCGGCTCGCTAAATATAAAGTAATAAATATGAGACATATAGCTCAAAAAAACCCCCCCCCTTTTAGTAAACTTACTTAGAAATTTCAATACGGCTTGACGAGAATCTTCAGAAACTAATCTAATATTAACGTAACGAGTAAATAAATGATTCAACCTTCAATATTTTTTAAAAAAATCGATCTTACAAATATATAACTTTATTACCTTGATATCAATAACTCATTTTCACGCTGATTGATTTTATGTAGAAATTCTCTTTCATTTCTACGGATTAATTCCTTTGATTTTATTATAGCTTCGAAAGAAAATTTTGAAACTCTCGTTGCCTCTTTTAGTGTCTCTTGAATTAAATGATCTTTTGGTATTAAACGACTAAATCAAATTGAATTTCTCGGTTTAGAACATGAATTCGACTCATGATAATGATTATTAGATTAATTTTTACCTGATGAACCCGACTTTTGCTAATTCTGGTGCCGCGTATGTTTTGTTCATTAACTATAAGAATAAACATTGAAATTAACTAAAATATAACGAATTGATGCTTTTCCCGCATAATTATGCATACCAACATTTCACTAGCAATCGATTGTCCAAGGTACCTTAAATTAATTAATATATATATTAATTACTTTTTTTATAAAGAGAAAAAATTAAAACTTGTTATTTAATATAAACTCACTTTGGAAATAGATACGAAGAACATCCCTCCACACAAAATGCTAAACATTACGAAAAGTTAAGTTTATATAAATCATTTATTTTTAAACCACTAATTTTGTCTTAACAAATATATATATAATTTACCCCATTGCATGAATGGAGTTAGAAAAGTTGCTTCCGGTACGGAGTAAACTACATCGCAATGTGGTAGAAACGTAACTCCAAATCCAAACGCTTTTCCTATATACGGATTAAAAATTTATAAGATGGGAATATAAAATATAAAACCTTTTAAAACATCATATTTACCATTAACGGCCGCTATCAACAACTTTGGAAAATCAATTAACAAATCAACTAATTGTCTACGATAAATTTGATAAATGATTCAATTTTAAAATTTTTTCTTTACCAATTAAATTTCAATTTACCTAAATAAATTAACACGTTTTTCTGCAATTCTTTTCAATTCTTCCTCGTTAGATATCTCAGATAATTCCAATCCGCTACAGAAGAAATTTCCTTTTCCTGTTACTACAACAACTTTTACTTGTTCTGCTTCAGTTGCCCATTCAATCGACCTAATCCAATCCTAACAGCAATGAAATGTAAAATTTGAGTTGCTCGAGTTATTCTAAACTGCGAACGAATTTAAAATATACGCGTTCTTACCTGTAAGAGCTCATTATTCAATGAATTTGCGCGTTCGGGTCGATTCAAAGTTAGAATAGCTACTCCTTCTGGACTGACTACTATTTCAAAGGTTTTAAGTGTGGGTATTGGTTTACCCATGACTATTTTCTAAGGAAAAAAATAAGTTTTCCCAGATTAAAATTCTGTAAATTGGTCGATCGTTTTGATCAACCAATCAACAGAAGCTAACATGAAATTGGAGTATAAAACTAGCCAGTATTTTTTCATCCAGTACCCACCGGATACTAATTTGATATAAGTGAAAGTGCACATGATCACTGACCAAATGTATAGATTTACTGTATAACCAGTATAATAAATAATTATATCGAAAATTTTTAATTGATAAGATTTATAAAATATGTAGTATTTTATTTATCTTATTTAACAAATGATATAAAAAGATTTTTAGAGTATATTAAATAAAGTTTTTTTTTTTAATATTGAATTAAATTTTTGAGAATATGAGAAATATATAAGTTAAAAAAAAAGTAAATATAGAATATTTATGAAAATAAATAAGGATTTATATTAGAAATGTTTGATAATCTTTGATATTCTAATATGACATCTTGATTTGACATGAAAGCAGATCTGTCCAGGTGGAAGATTTCAACATTATTTCAAGTAGAATATTGGCTTAGAACAACATAAGCTTGATCAGGTGAGAAGATGTTACCGTCTAAAGCTAGAGATACTCTTGATAAAGTTAAGCCTTGGGTCTTGTGAACAGTTAAAGCAAAGCAATTTTGAAGAGGAAATTGAATACGATGGTAATTTTTTCTATTTATTTCAAAATAATAGGTATGTTTGTAAATGTTATTGTATTAAATCTCTAATAGAGAAAGCAATTCAAGCATATTCTTCGGAAAGACAGACATCAGTAACCATACCTATTGTACCATTATATATACCATATTGAATAAGAGAGTTGTCTAGATATATTACTCATGCACCTGATTGTAAGAGAATAGATAACAAAAGATTTGTTTTTAGTTTAAACCTAGGATTTGATAGTGAAAGTTCCTATTGTATAGTATTTACAATGACTATAGTCTGTGAGATCATAAATTTATTTATAGTGACTAGAAGAAGATTGCATATTATTCTATTGATCTGATGAGCATTTTCTTTAAATCTAATAATATGTATAGTGTCGGTAAGCAGGTGAAATAAGAATTCTGAATGTTATTATTGTAACCTGATCTAAGTTTTGTTAGAAATATTTTCTATTCGAACATTTTCTAGCATAAAGTAAAATTCTTTATCTTAACTTTGACGATATGAAGTTCTGACTATTATGACATTTAGATCACCAAAAACAAGAGCATTTCAATGAAGGTTGGCAAATATGTTTGAGATGAAGTCTAAGAGTTCAGCAGAAACCATGGACACTTCTTCAATAATGATAGTATTAATTTTCTTTAAGAAGATTCTTAATTCATTATTTATATAAGCACGTGTGAGAAATTCACCATGTGTAGATGTGATATATGATTCTGAATGGATGGTAGTTCTTTTTATATGTTGAGCAACTACACCAGTGGAAGCGAGAAGATAAGGTTATGATTTTTGGATAAGAATGTTTTTTATCATATGAATAATGAAAGTTTTTCCAGTTTCAGCTGAACTGGTGATAAAGAAGTAAAACTATTTGACGTCATTATTTTTATCCATATATATGTTGATAATTGAAAGGGTATAGTATTGATCACGAGGGAATTTAAGCATAACAGTTTCAGGGAATATATAAGAAAGCATTATTAGGTTGTTTATTTGAGATTGAATAATATCTGAGAGGTTCGTAAGAAATTGATTGGCTAATGATTCCAGTAATCTTTATAATATTTTAGCAAAACAATTATTCAGGTATGTCATTTAGGATTGATGTATAATTGTAGCTTGATTCTGTAAGTTATTTAAGAATTCAGGATATAGAAATAAAAACTTTTTGTGATATGTTCTATTAGAAGTAATCTTAAAATTAGATTCATTTCGTACAGGTATATTTAGTAGTAATTGTTGATAAAAGTAAAGTTTTCTATAAGCAATTTTAAAAAATCGATACTTGATTATGATTTCTTTTAATCATTTGATAACATAATTTTCTAGTTCATCATGATAAATTTAACATGTAGTTCTAGGTGGTGAAGAAGGTGTATATAACAGATAAAGAATTTGCTCGCTACATGACAAAGTATATCACAAAAGAGAGCCATCACACATATTTACCATTTATGAAAATAATCTCTTAAGAGAACATGTAATTGTATACTGTCTTAGTTCAATAGAGCTCATATTTTTATTCTTAAGACATGAGATTTGCAATTCATCAACTACAGTTAATTTTCTTATCGCTGAACTACCTTCTACATGAACACGCTCAATCCTTCCTATATACATGATAGATGAAAATGATAACAATCCTTATTATGATAATACTATCATGAAATATATATCCTGATCTTATGATCAAAAGTTTAAAATCCTCACCTACTCTTAATACTTTGAAAAATATTTAGTTAGTTTATATTTAAAGATTTGCTGCAGAAAAAATGATCAATGTTTTACACGAATTGAGGATTGTTTACTGAATATTTATATGAGCATTCTAGAGCAATAGTATTAGAGCATGATAAAAGACAACTCAGGAATCAGCTTTTGTTAGATATCTATAAATGTATCAGTTTTCTTTTTTAATATGATCTGTTATTTCACTGAAAGGTCGAGGAAAATCTTTTTTACATGTATGACCTGAAAGTGCAGGTCCTTGACATTTCACATTATATGTATATATTTGATTGGCAATAATGACAGCGTACAGTTCTAGTTCATATAAGGATCTGGCATAGTTGATCAGATAACATTATTTGAGATTAATTTTATTAATAGTATTTGTTGTCTAATAGCAACTATGTGTATATGCTGCTCCCTTATTTTGAAATTCTACATGGTCAAAAAAGTTAGTAATATTACCAAAACCTGTAAGTTTTGGTTTTTTGTAAAATTTTTTTTTCAATGACTAAAATTTATATACAAAGTAATTATCATAGTGAAATGGTCTATTTGTTAGTAATATATTTCCATTATCACTATTCGCAAGTATTTCTTGAAGGTGTATACAACAGTTTTTAGCTATACTCAATATTATAAACAATGTTAACAATCTGAATTTATGTAACATTGAATTCAGATGAAGCTGTTTTTGATGAAAATAAGAATCACTAGTATGTATAAAGGTTAGAATTAGAATCATTTTACTTTTGTCTATTATATTATGATTGAAGTAGGCATTTGGTTGAAGTAAGTTTCTGGCATTCAGAAGAGTCATATTATTGATATTATGGTTACTATTAGAATTCAAGTAAGATTGTAGTAGTAATTGTTGAATATTTTGATGATGTTTTAATTTTTCAAATTAGAGATACAACCATAATGGCCAATGATAATGAATTCTCCATCTTATGTTAATATTCATCAAATGTGATTTAATGTATTATCTATATATTTCATTACAAATTTTATTATCAGAATTTAGATCATGAAAATGTTCTTTTCCATCTGTAAATAAATCTGAAAAGAGTAAAGTTTTCAGGTTTAGATCATAAGTCAAGATGGAAATTTATAACATTTTACTTTTTTAAACAAAAACTGCTATTAATTTGCTATAGTGAAAGTCTTCATCATATACTTCATTAGGAAAGTCATAATTTGGGATTACTATATCATGTGGGTTAACAGAAGAAGCACTGGTATTTGTCTGAATGTATCATGCACTCAGAAAGTGGTTATTTAGTATATAATGTTTAGGATTAGATGATAAAAGTTTATAAAAGAACAAAGGTAAAGGTTATTTTTTACAAGCTAGGTGGCAGCTCATTGTAGAATTTCATCAGGAGTTAGAATATCCTGGCCTTCATTGTTAACATAATTATTTTCATTTGATTCAGAGTACAAAATATGTGCTCTAATGTTATGAGAGTAATTTATTATACTGGTCAAGTTCCTGTACTCTGAGTAAGGATTGTTACCTGATATTCTTTTCAAAAAATAGTGAAGAAAAACAGGTGATAGATATCTTTTTTTATGCATAGGTACAGAAAGTATCTCATCTGGTAAAGGGAATAGATGAAAAAAATGATATCTAGTGAAAGGCTTCTTATATGACTCACAGGTAGGTATCCTCAGCTGGGTTATGCAATTAACATTTAAGTTAAAAAGCAGGATAATGTTATATATCTGTTATTATAAAGGGTAAGTAATTGATGAATCATATAACGTCTAATACGCCTTTTCAGGATATAAAAATCTTTCACAATATATGTAAGGAATCTGAAGCCATTGTGATAAAATGCTATTTTAAAATCTATCATATAACCTTTGTAATTTCATTAAAGGTCTTCAGCATAGTGGTCAGAAGGCTAATGAATGACTTGAAAGGTTATTATCATAATCTTGATCTGAAACTGATAATATAGGATCAAGATCTTCATTATCTATTGTGAAGTCTAGTATGGTCTCATGTTCGTTATCGAAAGTATATAGTCAATTCTTGTTATAACAAACTCTATATATTAGACCTCAACTTCGCTATAAAGCTATAGTAAAGATTTTAAGAGATTTAATTGGCCAATTCACTATAACAAGAGTATTTTTATTATATTTGTTCAAAATTTATTATATCAAAAGTTCGCTATATCAAGAGTTGACTGTATATATTATGGATTAGATGAGCCATAATTTCTTCTTTTTTTTATCATATACAATAAGTAATAGATTATAGAGATTATTCAAATAATTTGTAATAAATTCTATAAAAATAAAATATTAATTTTAAATCTAAGTAAAAATATATTCATTTTTTTATTTTTATTTTTTATGATGAAATATAATATTTTCAGAGATATTTATAAGAAATATTAAGAAATACATCTTGGTCATTTCTATGATTTTCTGTGTTCTAATAACATATTTTGTTGTGTGTTTAAGGGTTTTAATTTTATTAAAAATAATATAAAAAATAAATATATATTATTTTACAACATATTTTATCTTATGCTTAAAGTGACAGCTTAAATTAATTTCATATAAAAATTTTATTTTATTTATTTTAAAGTTAATTTATTTAAAATAATAGATGCAGCATGTTCTTAAGATTATATATTTTATTTTATTTAAATTAATTATTCAATCAACTATCAGAGTTTCAGGTAATACGCTATGAAAACCTTCATATTTTTATAAAATTAAATTAAAAAGTTTAAAAAAAAATTAGAAACTGTCTTTCTAACGCAGACTTTAACCGGTATAAAAGAAACTTCAGATTTTCTTTTATCATATTATTCTATATTAGTATAAAACTGAATATTTTTTATAAAAGAATTATTGTTCTTGATCTTGTGAAGGGTTGTTATCCTTCGTTGTAGTGATATTCATAGCCAAGATGGGATTTGCATCTAAAGCGGATGTAAGGTTCTGATTTTTTGCCAATCCTATCTAGACTAAAGTATTTCTCTCTTTCTTTGATTGTGATATTACACCTTTGAGTGACCTGCTGCTATCTCTGTAACCTGTTTTTTACGAATTAAACCATAGGATATTCAACGCTTACTGATTGTTGCTATTATTACGATTGGTAAATATTAAGCGAGACTTTCTCCTGCGTTATTTCATCAACCACAGCTGATTTGTAATTAATCAATCTTATAAGTATTGCAGTCGTGAATCTCATGTTTTGATTTATCAAATTTGTTTTATTGAAGAGATACTTAAAATTCAGATAGTGCATAACTTTTACCCAAAATTCGTGCAATTCCCTATCCCTAAGATTTTCTTCTATATAAAAGTCAAGGACTAATTTCCTATTAACATTTCTTACTGTTTTTGTTATAATATCTATAAGTATCGCGTCTAGACTAATCAGTGGTATAAAGTCAAAATCTATATTTTTTAAGACTTTGATAAAGGTAGCATTGACCTTTATATTATTCGTAAAGGGTAGCAAATTCAGAAATAAAGTATGATAAAAAGTTCAAAGGATTATATTATATATACAGAATAGTATCCAGAGTAAGCGATGAACTTCCTCTTTAAAAAAATCACATTGCCAGTTTTGAAATCATCAATTCAGGTTTCAATAATCTGATCTAATAGGATAAAGGTTTTGATCTTAAGATAGATGATCTTTGTTAGAGCATTCACATTTAACCTGAAAACTATTGTAATCTCCTTCACTATTAATTCTGAAGTCAATGTTCAGTAGAATCATATACAAAGCAAATCACAGAGAGTTTAGTCAGCATTATTATCTATTTTATATAATATTTTTTACCTAAAAGAAAAAAAAAAGCCAATAGGATTTATTCTTTATACTTTTTTTTCACAGCAATTAACTTAAGCACTCAGCCCTAAAGAGACTAGTCAGTATAATAAATTTCTATCCTTCGCCATAAATTTTATACTTTCTTATAAGGTAAAAGAACACAAATTTAAACTTTTTCATTAAATCATATTTCTGCTTAATATAGTATGAAAATGATGTTTAACCAGAAGTTAAATAAAAATCTTTTTTTAATGCTATTGTTACATAAAAGAAGACATGAATGATGATGATCTAAAGGATGACGTCAATCCCTAAGAAATATATATATCTTTTATGTTATCTATGTCATCTATAGCATATATTTTTTTTATACAATATATTTCTTTTATTTATTTTATCTTATTTATCTTATATATTTATTATATTTTATTTTAACAAAATATTTATTAATTAATATTTCATTATTTTTTAGGTTTGGACGCAGATTTTGAAGGTAAATTTTGAAATATTATATTAATATTCATTATTTTAATTTTTTTTTTGTTTATTTTATTTAAATGAAACATTTACTAACGTTCATTTATTTTCTTTTGTAGATTTTGAAGGTTGCTGAATACTATTTCAAAGGTATTTTTACCTTCTTTTTTTTATTTTATTTAAACGAAACATCTGCAACTAACATTTCATTTTTCTTTTTAGATTTCAGAGGTAAAAAGAATTTTTTATTATTTTTTGAATGAAACATTCATAACTAATGTTTCATTCCTCTATTATAGGTTTCAGACATGAGTTTTTGGTAATGATGTATATTTAATAAATTAAAAGCATTTTATATAATAATTAGAAAAAATATAAATTTTGAATTTTATTAATAGATGATATTTTAAATGTTTATATTACTATATATTATTTATATAATCATTAATTCTAATCTTGAATTACATTAAATTCTATAATAATATCATCTAATTCACTAATATTATTAACATCTGATCTACTTTCACTACTATTATCTGATTCACTTTCATCAAACTCACTATAGCTATTATCACTTCTATTATCATTATTTTTATTATTCAACTCTCCTTCTGGATTATTTATACTTACTACTTTATCAAATCAAAAATTAAATTATCTTCTTTTCTGTTAATAACATTTAATATACCATAACATTTAAATGAACGCATGATCATATTAGAATCAATCGTATCTTAGTTTTCTTTATCTGTTTAGTAACAAATGAATAAGATGGTCTTATTTTTTTTTGATGACGTATAATCCTTAATAGCCTTACTCATCTAATGATTATAGAGATATCATACCTATTTTAATTTGATGTGTTAGAGTTATAATTTTAATTATTTTTTTTAAAATTTTAGTTCTCAGTCATCTGAAGTATCCTGACTATTTAACGCATATTTAGTCTGATATATCAATCATACTTAGCGTCTAACTCCTTCTGGCTATTTTTCAAGCTAATTTGAACTACTAAACTACTAGACTTCATAATAAGCTATACACCTCGAGCACCGCATGGCTTTTTCTTGATGCTGTCAGTACAAAGGTTTCTAGCTAATTACTAAAAAGAGAATTCTTTACTAACCTAATTTAGAATAGCTGTCTGATATAGCTAATACGTCCAAACTGTCAAAATCACTCTGAAAATTGAGCTTAAGCTTCTCAAATTCTAATTGACTCATAGACGTTATAGTGTTTTAACTAAAAACCATCTGTAATTTATAACTCTTATTTAATTCAAGTTACATAGTATCTACTATTAACCTGTCATGTCCTGTTATCAAGGATGACTCTCTTGTAGATGATGCAACACTTGCCCATTACAGGCCAACCCTTAATATAAGTTCTAAACTCAATCAGTTCTATGTATATGTGACCACTTATGCAGCTATACAAGTTCACCATATTCTACAAGTTCATGATCTTTGATGCACATAGTTTGTATATATTCTATATAATTCATTTTCAGAATCAAACTGGTAAAACTCGCAGTAAATCAAGACTGCAATCTGCATTTGGCTAGTGCTGAATTAGGATTTATCGCAGTGTTATCTATTGATAAGAACTCCTACCTTACAGCAAGTATCAGGAATGCCAATTTCCTATAATTTTAATTATTAGATAGATATTTTAATAAATAATAAAATATAATTACCTTAACCTTAAAAGATTTATTTAATAATATATTAAGTAATTGTAAATGGGAAGTTAATCTATCTGGAATTATGGCTAAATTAGTTTTCTTTTTGCAAAACTTTTGTTTTACAACATCTGTTTTATGTGTAGTAAAGGAATCCAATATCAAAAGAGATCTTGAATTGTTTTCTTGTCTTGCTTATTGTGATCAAACATTCTCTATTCATCAAATCATTTCTTTTTTATTCATCTAATCTTCCTTATTTGCACAAATAATTACACTATTAAAAAATTTTTCTTACAGAACATTTACAAGTTTAAAGATAATTACTAAAGGTAATTTTATTTCGTTTGCTAAACAACTTAAAATAACAGTAAAGTTTGCACGTTTATGACCAGTTGATAAAATTGAAATAGTTTTAGTACTGCATTACTCAATTGTTATATTACTAGATAAATTAAATACCATTAGTGTTTCGTCTATATTGGCAATTAAAGACAGTGAATATTTATATTCTTTTCTATAATAAAGAACATAAGATAAAAAATTACTTTATTGCTCAACATAATCATCTAGAAGTTGTTGAGAAACAGTTATTTTTCTTCTACTAACTAAATTATGTCGAGACATAAATCTATCCACCTATTTTTGTAAAAATTTTGCATCTTTTATATCTAGATATTTTTCTTGATATATAATTTTTTGGCTAATAAACGAGCTTTTGCTTAAATTATATATTGTGAAACTATTTTCAATTGTTTTTGAGCCTTTCTAAACTACTTAATAAGTTCTACTTCTAGCTGAAAAAATTTTGGTCATACATCTTAATTAAGTTTTTGAGTATAGGATGCTATCTTTAAAAGTTATTTTTTATTACTGAGCTAGTCATAAAGTTGTTTTGGTTCTATTTCAAATTTTTCTGCTATTGACTTTTTGCTATATCCTTATTCATGATATGAAATAATTATTAACTTTTCTCATGCTGACTATTGACGCCTTTTTTATTTGTAATTCTAGCATGATATATTTTATAATTTTTGCGAACCATATTCTTAAAAATATAATATTTCTAATAGTAAATAATCCTTTTAATATTAAGTTTATGATATTGCAAAAAATTTTTATATCTTAAAATATGATGAAAAATTTAAAAAACTATAGTTATCGCAATTTGTATTATGTTAAAGCTTTTTAATAGCAGTAATGATCTTATAATTATTTAAAATAATTTGCTTCTTAATTAATAAAACCTTATAAAGGTACCATTAAAATCTAACAGATATCAGATCAGTAATTATTGAATGTGATTAATTAAATAAAAAAGGCAAATTACTTTAAAAATATTAATCAATACTTGTAAAATAACATAATCAAAAAGCTATTTAAGCATTTTATACTTTTTGTGTATTACAATTTACCAAATACTTAAAAGTCGTAAGATATTAAATTTGCAAATAATTCAATAAAAACTGATTTTTGATTATTTAATATGAAAATATATTACAAATTGTTGGTATTTTATAGAAAATTTAAAAGTAAAATTTTTTTTTGAATATAAAAATATGAAAGATTCCAAAATTAGTTAATAAAAAAAAAATTTGTTAAAATTGTTTCTTTAAAAAAAAGAAAGGATGATCTGAAAAATTATATTATTAAGTTAAATATTATTGAATTATATATTTAAATTTAATGATTAGCTGTATAGTATTTGTAATCATTACAAAATACCTCTATAATATTATATCCTATTTATAGTACTCTATCGTCTATAATACTTAATACCAAATGAAGTACCTATAGGCAGGGTTGAGAAATTTGTATGTATTAGACAAATTTTAACCTTGTATTTGTATTGTATTATATTAAATTTTATATTAATTATTATGTGTACTAACTGTACTAAATTGTACTAAGCTATACTAACTATACTAATTTCCCAACTCTGCTTACAGGTATTATATAATTTTTAAAATAGGTTTTTTGTAAAATACTTAAGGTACTATAAACAGTACTACACAATAATTAGAATAATATATTATTATTTAAAAGAATAATTTTAATTAATTAATTTATTATTATTATTTTTAAATAATTAATGATTAATATTATATTTAGTAGATTTATTTTTATATTATTAAGACTGTAATTCTAAGATTACAAATTCTGATTTAAATAAAATCACAATTCTAAAACAAAAAAATTTGCTTTACTTTAATATTCTTTTTTTTTTAATCTTCTTTTTTTATTTAGTTTTTACTGATTCCTTTTTATTTTCTTTCTCTTCAATATATTTCAAAGTCCTTTTTCAGCTTTTTATTGTAGAATATAAAATAAGTGATAAAAAATTCCTATTTTATTTTTTTTGTATATTGTTATACAACCTTTTAATGTAGAATTAACTTATGAGTTCTCATTAATTTCCTGAATAAAGATCATCAAAATACTTGTAATGTATATTCTTTTTAGGTTAGATCTGCATAAACAGATTAGAAAAAAATTTAGTAGTAAATTTAATATAGATTATAGATTAGTTCTTAGATTAGCTCTTAGATTAGCTATTTTAAATCTTAATCTGACTTGAATATTACTTAGATTATAGATTATAGATTATAGAGTAATATTCACTTACCCTTTTTACGATTATATGGCATATATATACACCTTTTTTTTATGAATAAAAAAAAAGGTTTATGTATTGCCATATTGGAATTTATTATTAATATAACGAAGTTAACAAATTAATTTTACCTCCTTAATCTTTCTATAATTGTTTTCATGATCTAATTATCTAATATAGTAAAATGATAAATAATGTTACGATCAGTTCTTTAAGATGCTTATAAGTGATAAGCGAAGCAATATTTATAGGTAGTAAGCAGAAGGTTTAATTTGATATTTAGATTTAGAAGAGTGTCGATAAATTAACAGTTTATTTAATAACTATAATAATGGAGTACTGCCTCAGTCAGCGCTCTGTACTATACAATTATGTTAGAGGGATTAAACTAAACTATTATATAAAAC